AGAAAAGAAACTATGTTTTCCAAGAGAATGGTTGTCAGATCTCTTATGATTGTTCTGTAGATTACCACTTCAAGAAAACTAACAAAATGGTTATTGGATTTAAAAGGTATTCTCTGTAAGTAAATGTCACTGTTAAATACCTCAGCTATTATGTTTGTGTTTGCATTACTTTAGGGATTTAGATGGTACCATTTGCATATTTTATCCAATTCTCTAATGTTCACTTTGTGAGTTAAAATCAAGATAAACTGTGTAAATGGAACAGCTTGCTGGCTGTGGATAAGCTGATTTAAACTACTGTACATGGGATGAAAAGTAAGGCGCTTTGTTATTTGGAAGACATACACAATATGTTTAGTTTGTGAAAGTAACATGTTTAATAGCATGTAAGTTTTAGTTTGAAATCAAAGCAGAGTCTATAGAAATGTAGTTAAGACTGACATCTTTGCCTTGGGAGGGGAAGGCTAAGAATGTATGTTTAGTTGTGTCAGGTTTGGGGAGGTGTGTGCAAATAATTTTGCTATATAACATCCTCTCAAAATTTGTATTTAAGTGCTTCAAACGCACTCCAGGTGTTTTGAGGTACTCTTAATTACATGGTGTTCTCTTCCCCCTTCTCTCCTCTCCATCTACTGTGCACAACATTTTCTTCTAACAGCATGATGTGCCTTTCCTTGTTGTCCTTAAAGGAGGTCTAGCCAGCCCAGGAATGGTTAGCAAAGCCTGGCCTGTGGCATTTAGAAGTTCCTCTCTGATAGTCTGCCTAGAAATCTGTTCTTTCACCTAAAAATTTCTCCTTTAAAGTTTTGTAAGAGATGGACTTTTGGTCCCTAAGTTGATGTTTTATTTTTAAATACTCACCTAGCCTGCATTTTTTGATACTAAGCATCTCCCACAGGTCTAATCTTCCCATTTGTAATTTTCATGGATCTTAAGCGGGACCATTGTTGCCTATCCTTCTAAAACAACATGGAGGAACATGACCAATTACTACCCTCACATCTACTTATCTTGACATCCTTTTCTCTTTGCAAAATATTTTGTTGCTTCCCTTCATTTGTCTGCCTTTGGTTCATTGACCACCAAATAACTGCTGAGTTTTCTTTTCCTGTGAGTACGTGAGTTAAGATAAATTTTTTGTATAATGGCACCACATTTTTCAGCTAAGTCTGCCCTCCTTGCACGTCTAGAGTAAATGTGTAATCTGTTGATGAGCTATTAAGAAACTTTGGTACAAGGGTGTTTCTTTGAGATGTGTTAGGCTGCCATGAGGACCCATGGTTACTTTTATGTGCTAGTAGTCCCTGAACTGGGGATTTTGAGCTGCGCCGTGGATTTTCTGTGATTAGAAATGAGAATAGTCTTAAAAGCTGCATGAAAGCTTCAAATCATATATTTATGTAATGCTATTCTACATATGGTGCAGCAGGTCAGCATGCTCTACAGCAACTTCTCCGTTTGTTTAAATCCTGTCTGCAGTACAGGGTTCACAGTACAGAGGGACTGAAGGGATAGATTGAAGGTAGACAGTATTGGTAAGAATGAGAAAAGTTAGGAAGCTTGCAGATAAAAAAGACATCAAATTGCAGTAGCCTTGCCCCTTGAACTCTCTCTCTTCCTGCCTTCTTCCTTCCCTTCTCACAGATTTTGTTAGCAAACTGCAGGGCAGAACAACTTTCCAAATGTACTGTAAGAGACTCCTTTTCTTCCCTATCCCACCAAGGGAGAGGGAGTGAGGGGCTGTGTGGGGCTTAGTTGCTGGCCAGGGTTAAACCATAACAAATTGTTTGTTACAAAGTGTGTGTTGTGTTGTAAATGATAATACAGAAGTGTATATATATTTCTTCCACATCTGGCATAATAATGAGTTTTACTGGTTTATTCTCTGTTGCACTCAAGTGTAAGTGTAATCAAATGAGTACTCTTCTGTGAAAACACATAGGGAAAGTATTGAGAAATTAGATTCTAAACTACCAGGATGCTGAAAAATAAGCAAAATGCATTTTTGTAACAATGAGAGCTCTGGCAGTGGTTCTTTTTCAAGACAATTTTGGTTATATCAGAGAGCACAAAGTGTCTGGCACTGAGGCAGGTTCTGCCCCTGGCTGCACACTGAGTTGTCTACTGCTTGTATGCAGGCCTGCCAGCATAAGCATGTATGGACAAGTACATCACATGGATAGGATGTGCGTGGATGAAGAGGTAGCAAAGGTTTTTTTTTCCTCATTTGTTCTGTAATGTAACAATGAATTTTGGACAATATTTTTTCTGTGTAAAAACCACAGGAACGTACAGAATTGCTCTTCACACTGTTCGTTAGAAATGACTCAACATCAATCACTCCTTCATACTCACTTTAAAATTGCCAGTGGGAATGCCCTGATGGGGGGAGGCAAGACCACACCATCTGAGAGTAGTTACTGCTCTTGTGACAAGGAATGGCAGCCAGCTGCCTTTCCATTTTCTCATGGCACTAGCAGGGAAGGAGAGGGGCATTGCTTTCTGCTTTGCATTTCTCCTCTGGGAAGGGAGGCAGACTCTCCACAGTACTGGAGGGGAAGGTCAAAGTGTTAGTAAAGATTTTTTACTCATTTTGACTTCTGTCCTTCTTCAGACAGGTTCTCACATAGATAGCGCAAGTGTATTTTCTGTTGCACATTTCCCATGGGTTTCACTAGGAGCTAGAACTTCACTAACCTTGAACATTCATCAGAATTATGAGTTATTGCTGCTCAATCATCTAGCTGCTGCTGTTAAACACTAAAAATCAGAAAACAGCCTATTTTCTCTGCACAGTAAACTGAAAATGCTTCAGGCCAACCTAAACTGAGCTGCAATTGGAAATGAACAAGTTGGTGCTGCTGAGCTGTTCCGGGCAATGGCAGTGCCAGTGGAGGCTGCCTGTGCTGACAAGATGGATGGAGCATACAAAACAGTCTCAATGCAGGAAAGGGGACTGTACAGAAATCCAGAGCTACTTCTGCAGTGAAAGCTACCTTTTGTGCCATGGATTTAACCCAGGGCCTTATGAGGTCAGCAGAAGGGTTTCTCTGGGGATTAGAGTCAGGTCTCTGTCACAGATAGTGTCTGGGTTACTTTTAAGTGCTGTGTTTCAGTAAATGTACAGCAGACAGAGAATGAGCTTTGCTGAGCATGGCAGGGCTGGCAGCATCCTGTTTCGGGCTCCTCCGGGTGAAGCTCTGTGAAACAAGGCACTGCTGTGCTTGCAGGGCCGTAGGGGCACGGAGGTGCTCCTCTCAGGGATGTGGTTTCCCTGCCTCAGAGCAGGGCTGCCAGCCCTCCTCCTGCCAGCCTGGCGCAATGGGCCCTGCCTAAAAAATAAACCAATTAGCCTTTAAAAAGGGCTTTCTCATTTCTATAATCCTTTTCGTAGAAAGAATTTGCTGAAGCAGCGGGATCTGTGGCTCTGCTCTTTTCACCTTCCATGCCACAGTCCTGCAGGGAATTCACCTGGTTACAGACTGCTAAGATGAACATCTTTGCTATGAGATTAATTGATTGCAATTGCAAGTGTCTGTTATTGTCACACTGCTTAAACATAGGAAGGGGAGAGAGAAGAAAAACACAACATAAATAGAAACTATTGCTCTTAAGTTCTATTTATTTTCATATGTTTAGTGAAAAAGCACGCCCATGCTTGAAAACATTATAAATGTAATCAGATGTTCTCTGTAGCAGGTTGAAGTAAAAACGTGTACTGATGTTATGCTTAAAGAGCATTTAGAACATTTGACAGTTGTTTTTTAATTACTTTTCTGCTTACCCTTTAATTATGCTCATCACTTTCTTTTACCCTGTTACTTATTTTCTTACTTCCTAAGATTAGGAAAAAAGCAGTATGTTAATTTCCCTTTTAAATTTTTAAGCTAATATTTATCTCTGAATGTGAAAACTGATAACCAGAGAGAAAAACTTCACTGCAAAAAAATTTCCTTTAATTATCTTAGTAAGTAGGAATAGTCTCAAAGGAGTACAGTGTGTCATGCCGAAGGAGTGACAGCTGAGGAGAGCTGTCACTGATAGTTCTCATATAGCACATCTCCTCTCTGGTACCCATGAGCTGGATGGTGACTCCATTGCCTGATGGGCTTCTTCAAGGTGTTGACAGAAATATGCAACTTCCTCAGATAAATTCTGGCTAGTGGCCATGCTTTACTCAGAAAATGCCAGGAGTGGATGTAGTTATTTAGGAAGGATGGAAGTGAAATGACCCACAAAACAGCATCCGTTTTCAGAATCCCATTGCTTCTGTTCTTTTTACAGAAGGAGCACTGCTTTCTGGACACTTACAAGCATCAAAGTAATGACTAATCTTCTGACTCTTGGATTCAATTTAAATACAGAATGCATGCAGAGTGCTTCATATAGGTTTTGGGACTTTTTTGGTACATGTTCTCTGAAGGTCATTAGGAAGACATGATCCTAAGAGTATAATATAAGACCAAAATAGGAAATATTTTCACTTCATATAATTTTTAATGAAAGAAATAAAAAGAAAGAAATCACAAACTTCTAAAAATAAAATATGTTTGCATGTGAGTCTATTTCTGACAAAAGGAAAATGGTCTATGGGTTATGACTATATATAATGCTTTAAATTTTTTGTTAAGAGTTCTATAATTTAAATTAACATGAAGATTATGGGTAATTTTTGTAGTTGACTTAGAACTATTCCAGTTTAATTAACCTGAGTATTTGCCATTTGTAATTCTGAGAATGTAGTTTATGCTATACATTGCCTAATAGAGAGTTCCCAGGAACACAAAACTGTCTTTTTGCCAAATGTTACATGCACAGATTTCATGAAGTGGTCTGCAGCTCTGCAGAAACTAGGGCAGGCTCTGTAAGTAGAGCATGTCAGGTAATTATTCAAATTTTTTTTTATGCTAGAAATTAACACATTTGTTCTGTGGTGGATGTTTTTCTGAGATTTCTGTGAAATCTCTAACAAAGTTGCTTATCTGTTGTTTCACCTACAGGTACATTTATGTTCCAATGGGAGGATCTCAGTCCAGTTTGCTTGGAATGCTATTTTCTACAGCCCTCACTTTTGCCTTTGTAAGCTATTGGCATGGAGGACAGAGTTATTTGTGGTACTGGGGCGCACTTAATTGGTTTGGAGTAATTGTGGAAAATGGCATCAAGAGGATACTTTCTATTTCACTTATTCAAGATTTAATTGTAAGTTGAATCTCTCTTTATTTCTGTTCTTGTTTCCTGGCTCCATGCTCATCTGAAGTTCCTGGTTACTAGTTTGGTTTAACCAAGATTAAAAGTCATGGATAACAGATAAAAGAGTTAGCATTCCCTTGCCCACCCTCCAGTATCTGAGGTAATAGCTAGTTCATATAACTGGAATTTTGCAAAGTATCATTAAAGCAAACAGTGGAAATATGCGTGGTCTTAAAAGCTTCCTCTGCAGTCCTAGAGTAAGCAAATGCTTGTCACGTCGTATATGGCTGAACAGAAGCCAGTTTTAACATTTGTATTCTGATTTCACTCAGGATGGCCTTAAAATATTCATCTTCACTAAAATTAGGAGTGTATATTTCTAACCATGTGTTTCCTGGACAAATGAGCATGTAGCAGCTGCTTGCATCTGGGAACAAGCTTACACTGGGAAATGTTATGCCACTAAAGATCCAAGTAAAGAAACTATTATTTTGCCTTGAAGTCCTCTGATATTTTCACTTTACTTATACTTTTGACCTTTGTGCTGTCATTTCCAAAGGACAAAATTGACTTTGACGTGCAATCATATGCAAAAAGCACTATTTTAATTTTCTAAAATATTTTAGTGACTATTTTTTAATGTTGATGGTCATTTTAATCTGCAGGTTTGCTCTCTACTTAATCCCAAATCTTCTAATAACTGTAAGAATAAATAATTCATATGCCTTGCTTCCTTCCTGTGATAAGGCACAGAATTTCTACTCCTATATAATGTTGTTGGAGTAGAGACTCACTCTGCAGCCTGATGGAATCCTGATGCTCAAGTAACGATGCTGGTTCTCCATCCCAGCCATTTCAGTTTTCACTGTTGTAACATCCCATGTGTGGCAGCTGATGCAACTCAGTAATTTAGGAGCCAATAACAGCCAGTGCTACCTTATATCACCCAATTGTCCATCACTGTGATTTCAGTGATAGTCTGGAAGCAGCTTTTTACCTTCCTAGAGAAGGAGTTTATCAGATCCGTTGATCTTCCCTCTAGGGTGTAACTGAGCTTCACCATCTGATCGGCTGCATATGTTTTTCTCTAGACTGGAAGACAACATAGCTTTTTAGGCATCCAGCTGTATGTGGAAATATAAGTGTAGGGGCTTTTTATCTGGTGTCACATATAGTAGAAATTTTAAAAGAACTCTTAAGGAATTAAGTGCTTAAATATCACAGAAATTATAATGGCTGTGGCATTATGAAGGTGGGGGTTTTATATGTTGGATTAATTTCTAACATGTAGTTCTAATTGTAGTTAACTGATGCTGGCACGAGGGTTCTTTTTTGCATAAATGAACTCCCTAACAATGAACCAAGTGCATTTTACTCCCTTTCCTCCTCTTTGTTTTCATCCAGTGTTTTTATTGGCCTATCTAGTGTCTTCCCTGTCTCCTTTTTTGTTCATTTCTGTTTGGAAACATAGCTGTAGACCTTCCTTAGAAGACACTTTCACATCTTTCCCTGAAATATTTCTGAAGCCAGTATTTTTAATATGAATAGTCTTGGCATCTAAATTAGTGCATTAGACAGATCTTGCTGCATTCAGTAATGGCTGAGTCATGATTTGCCTTGTGCCTTGAAGGTTTCTCTACAATGATGTGAGCTCCTTATTGCTCTTTCCTCACTCTTCTACCTAACTCCCATTTTCTTCTTGAAAGCTGAGACTGGGGAGCAGATGAGTAGTTGGATTTTGACATTTCTTTATCAAGGGGTAGAGTGATATGACATTCTCTGAGATGTACCACATTTGAAAGAAACTGAAAATTTCTTAATGCCCTGTATAAATTTCCCCCGTGTAATCTGGCTTTTGGAAACATTCCTATAATCCTGTCTTAGTGAGAGGTGTGCTGCAAGCCTAGTCACTATGGTGTTGAAGACTCCTTTCTGGGGGCTGGGTTTTTCACTTAAATGTCATCTGTTGACAAGCTGAAATCCTTTGCATTCTTGAGCTTCACTCAGTGTCTGTGTTAGCTCTTGAGGCCTATTTTTGAGAAGGAAAGTTTATTTTTGTCCCCAGAATAGCAGATGAGTTTCTGAAAATATACAAAGCACAGGTATATGCTTTTTTTAACCCATTCTGTTTACCAAACCTCCTCATGTATTATTGTTAAATTGAGTTACATAGTTAAGTTGAGCAGGAGGTGTTCAATTAATAAAATATAAAAAAATCTAGAAGTGTAAGTTGAATTTAATTCTGCTCTGTTTTTAAGATGGAATTAATGACAAATAATAACAAAAACGGTATCAAAACTGTCTCCTCCCCCCCCAAGGGAAGATTTAGAAATCTAAATAAAGCACATTCAAGTCTCATCCTTCACTGAATCCTTATGTGACTAAATATATACATACATATATATATATAAAGACCCTATATTTATGCAGATTTTATGGTAGTTTCAGTCTCAGCACTTCAAACCTAGTGCAATATGAGGAAATAACACTTTTGTAGCAGTCTAACAGGTTTTAAATGTCATTTCAGGCATATTGAGCTAGAATGAACAAAGAAGCATGGGCATTATTTGTGAGAAGTAAAATCGGCATACAAAGAAATATTTACTGAAAACAGTAAATTTCCTGACCCCAAAAAAATGGTTCTGAAACTTTTTAATTTGTACTGGCTTCAAACCAGTATATGGCTTCCTGATTTTAGCTTTAAAAGAGCTGATTCTCCTTATGTACTTTCCAGCTTACACAGTTCTGAACTGTCATGTTTTTCCACCTCGAGATTAATTGTTAGTTATCAGTAAATTAGAACTGAATTAATTAATATTGTCTTTTCAGCAAAACATTACGTATAAAACAAAAATAAATGCTATGCATTGTAAACTAGGGCTTATCTGGGAACTTTATATTAAATGGGAGAAGTTTCATCGTGTTTCTAGCAATTTTTTTTGTTTTCTTTTTTTTTTAATTTTTCAAATTATATTTAGACCTGTACTGAGCAAAGTAGTGCTTTGCTTCACTGATTCTATATTCATTTCTTACAGATGAACAGAGACTCCAGTGGTAACTCATTTGAAATCAGTGATAGAATTTGTATTGACTTTTAATAAATAATGTGTCAGATTTCTGAAAGAAAATGCTTATGGCTGTCCTTCTTGTAGTGTTTTAAATTTTTTTCCTTAAGGAAAGCGACATATAGATCTATAAAAAAAATTAGATCTTGGTACAAAAATAGATTTAGAATTATTTAAACCTTAGAATAGTTGGCAACATCTTTAAATCAATGGATTTTTAAAAAAGAAATATTTGGAAATCATCCAAAAGGAAGACGTAGCAAGGGAGGTTGAAATTGGCAGATGGATAAAATTAAAGTTTTAATCCAAATTGAAACAACATCATTTATCTTTTTAGTTCTTTCTTAAAGTGAAAACATCATTCAGTTTAGTAAGATTTTTTTTATTGAGTTGTAAAAGTCTCTCTTTTAACAATCACACTATGATGAATTTTTAGTTTAAGATCTTATTTCTAGATTTATTTAGTAAGAAGCTAAATATGCCATAAAAAAATTCATTTTGAGAACCAACTAATTTTAAGCATGGCATGTTTTAAAGTAATTTGTACTATCCTTGTAAGTTTTTTGGTTTTTTTAAAGTGTAAAATACTTTGATTTCTACATTTTCATTTATGGCTGGAATGAGGTGCATTAATTAATTCTATTTCAGTATGCTGAAATTTCCTACCCAACCCCTCTTTGCAAAAGGGAAAATATTTTGTATGATGTCCATGATTTTGGTTAGTGTGATTAGAATGTTAGGTTATCTTTTTCCTCAGAAGAATGAACATACATTTGTCTTTACAGTTAAAATATCTCCATTGTTTTGGATAACAGACATGTGGTACACCTGACAATTGATATCCTTAGCTTTGCAGAGAACAGAATTTTAGATGTCTTTCAGAGTTTAGGTGTGGTGGTGGGGTTTTTGTCCATTTTTTTTCCTCTGCCTAATTTTGTTTATGCTGTTGATTCTGCTAGATGCATTAAAATCTCTACAGTTGTTCATAATAGTTATGCATTATATTGTGGTCCTGCAGACAGCTGGTGTGGAGCATGGAAAGGTTCTGACTGGTGAGCCTGACCTCTGGGCTGTGATTCGAAAGGGAATTAGCTGATCTAACAGCTCATTACTATCGAAGAGGGAAAGGTTTAATTTCTCTTTCCTCCCTTCCTTGCAGTCTCACCCCTTCCTCCTCCACACACCTTCCTGCTGGAATCTTTGCTGAGCTGACTTAGCTCTTTACCGCAGCAGAAAGCTTTACTTCCTCTGGTTATTTTATTGCTAGATGACTTGACCAATGAAGAGGAATCTGAAAAACACACAAAGCAGTACAATGTAAGAGCCAAAAACCAAGGAAAAGAAGTGGAAGAGGAGGAGCTCAACTACTTGGAACCTCCCTCTTGCAAATGTACCTAAACAGTACAGGCTAGTAGATTGAGCCTCTGTGTTTAAAGGCAGTGGGACAAAGAAACCGATTAGGTTCTGCTGCAGTAATTATTCATCCTTATGTTAGGGCTCAAATTCAGCCTAACCAAGCTCAAGATTCCTGTGAATTTCACAGCCACTGAGCAAATGACAGAATTTATTTTTGCATGTATAACTCACTTTGAACTGTTGTGAGACAAGTAAAGTTTCCTTCTGCAACTGAGGCAAGATGTGACCAAACAATAGGAAGTCATTCGAGGGAGATATGTTTGTTGATCACCTTGTGAGATAAAATCTTTAATAATATATCTGCAATAAATGAAGACCCTTCTCAGCTGTTCTTCAGCACACACTAGGCTTTGATCTTTGTTTTGCTTCATTTGATGGAAGAAGTATTTATATAACTTGTTTACTGTTGTCAAGCATGTCTGGCCTTTTCTTTTTTACTAATAGTTTTGTTTAATTCAAACATATTTTTATTGAAACGTGGTGATTCAATTAAGTGACAAGCATTGCCAATGATACTTTCTTCATAAC